TTCTTTAAAATCTGTGTTGAGTCGTTCAAATGACTGAGTAGCTTCAATCAAATGCACGGAGTCAAACTTGAAAAACTGAAGTAAAAGTTCAATTCTTGCATATAGAGCAAGAATTAGTCATCTTCATATTTTTCCACATAATATAGCAGATTTCGACTTCGGAAAAAATGAGCAATACGAGACACTCCAGGGTGACAGATTTTCATGCAATTGATGAAGTTCATCCACATTAGTGGCACCACATACGCGTGAGAATATCACATATTCGGGTATGTTATTTTTACCTGGGCGATATACAATGTCATAGGAGAGTTCAACTCGCCATCTATAACTATTTTATAATTTTTAATCTTACCAGCTGATTTAGAGTTAAAAATAAAAGCAGCACTATACTGGTTAGTCAAAAGCCAAGAATGGCGTCCAATGAGATTGGACCTCGTTAGAGCATCAACAATGGCATAAGCTTCCTTCTCCACTGATGAGGGCCTCTGTTCACTGTTTGAAAGTGTTCGGGAGAAGAAAGCTACTGGTTGTTCATTATGGGTTAGGGTAGCAGCAATAGCATGATTTGAAGCATCATTTTCCACAGCAAAAGAACCTGTTGGGTCGATTGCTAGAACCAATGCCTCAGCAATGTCTCGTTTCAATCCTTAAAATGCTTTTGCAGTGGCAGCATATAAGGGAAACCCATTGGCATGAGAGAGGGAACGGATCTTCTCAGAAAACCCCAGCACCCAACGGGAGTAATGTGCAAGCATTCCCAGTGTTCTGCGTAAAGAACCTGTGTTGCTTGGTAGTGGAAGTTTTAACAGTAGCTCGAGGCGTTCTGGGTCAGGTCTAATTTCTTCATAGACCGGAATTGAAAACTACACTTTTCAAGATTCAGGGTCAGGCTATACCTTTTTGCAACGTCCATCAAGTGTTTCAGATTTTTATCATGGTCTTCAGAATTTCAACACACACAGACATCATCTAAGGCAGCAAAGGTACCCTCCACACCTTCTTTCTCGAGGATGCCATTAATTAAAAAACTTTCCACAAGCTTCAAAGGCTGTATAAAGTTTTTCCTGTTTTAGACCCGCTTGATGGTAAACACCGCTCAAGTTTAGCGTGATGTATACTTTAAATCTAGCAACATTATTCACAATTTCCTCTATATGTGGAAAGGAGTCCAGCCCTGCGAATCGGCTTATTGTTTGTGAATTATCTTCAACCATTCTTTTCTTGTGATTTTCTCCTTTAGTTACTAATACCTGGGCTCTCCATGGAGAATTATTGGGCCTAATTATCTATTCACTCAGCATCCGTGAGGTCTCAGATTCAATAAACATCTAGTCAGCCTCAGAATAGCATCTGAATTTTACAGCAATCAGCTTGCAGTCTGGTGCTATTACTAAAGAGCGATGGAGCAGGTACTTTGACGGCAGCTAATTCACATATTCTAAGGGGGGGGGGGGTTGTCTTTCTCCTCCAAAAGTCATCTCGAGCAAGGAATGATTTCGCAAAAATGTATCGCCCAAAATCGGGAAACACTTTGAGATTTACACCATGGTAAGTTTATCGTTGCCGTTCTAGGTCTACTGAACACTGACCCAGGAATTTTGAAGAAAACGATTCAGTAGCCATAAAAACTGTCCCATTGTCAGGATAGACGAGTAACCCGCTCTTCTCTGTAATATTCTTGTGAATAAAGTTCTCAGAGCTACCAGTGTCAATCTGTGCACTGACTGGAATCTCATTGATTTTAGAGCTAAACACTGATTTATCGAGGCATGAGGGTGAAGTCCCAGCTAAAGTAGCGAGCATAGCAGCTGAATGTTGGGTGTCTGAAGCACTGTTAGTCTGTTTCAGAGATAGACAGACCTTAACATAATGACCCTTTTTCTTGCTATTCATACTCAAAACCTCCTTAGCTGGATATCGACTGCGAGGATGTCGAGTGTAACCATTAAACCACTAGTTGTAGCTGCGGAAAATGTTTCAACTTTTTCTTCTACAATTTCTTGTCCTCCTGAGTCCTCCAGATCTAATGAGAGTGTCATGGCAGCGTTTGTAGCCCCTGGCTAAACATAAAAGGCAGAAAGTTTCTGTGCCGTTTCTAGAGTAAGCCTGTTCATATGCTGACTGTAAGTCTAAAGTTTTATTTTCAAGTAAGCGCTGCCTTATTGTGGCAGAACCTAGCCTATTGTTGAAATCATCTTTCACATAGTTATCTTAAGCTTCTGCAGCAGTCACGGCTTTGAACTCACAATCTTTAGCTAATAATTTCACTGCCTAAAGAAACTCGTCAAGCGACTCACTGGGTTCTTGGCGTCATGTTGCAAGTACATACCTTGCGAATACTTCATTCTTGGGCTTCACAAACAGTTCCGTTAGGGATTTTGTCAGCCGCATAATACGTAGTGCAGTCAGTTGCGTAGTCGAACACACGTGGAGCAACGTATTTTTTCAGGAGACCCAGCTTGTCCACGGTGAGAGTAGTTTGTTGTACTGCTAGAGAGAAGTTTTTGAATGTCTTCAGCCAGTGACGCCATTCTTGAGCGGCGGTGGTAGAGTTTGGGTCAGTAATAAACCGCTCTGGCCTTCGGAACCACTTCAAGTTCACTGGCTGAATTATTTGATCAATAAATTGAGGTAAACAAATGCATTGCCATACTTGTTGCTTTATTGATCAAATAATTACAGTACAGTTACATCCTGCAATAATACTAAGCCATATAGTATACAATACATAAATACATTTTAAGCACTTTCTATTTACTATAGCAGTAGGCAAGCTGGACATGAACTAAAGCTATAACAAAAAGAAAACATGTGAGAACATTACACCGACTTGTATACATGTGAGTCACAGCTGATCTGCCAGTCACCAAAACAATAACAGTCAAGCGAGTATCCATCCTGTACAACAATAGCTCCACCCCCAATAAGATAGATACAACACTTTTACTATTGGTGTATAACACCACTGTTGGAATCGAAGGACATACAATTTTTAGGAGACCAATAAATCCCTTATGTTTTTCCACCATGGATTTAGCGCCATCTGTTGCGCAGTGTACTAAGTTTTCTAGGGGTACTTGTTTTTCTCAAAGATCAAGATCTCAAAGTCTCAAAATTATGAGATTATCCTTTTGTGTCCGTTTTCAAAGATTTTACAAGGGACATTTCCTCACCATATCAAATTTATATATTTCTGCTTTCCTTTTTATTTTTACAACTAGCTGTGTTATTGTTGTTGTTATTGATTTAGGGACGACGACTATCGTGGGATCGGATGCGCCCCGGCGTAACCATAAAGAATTAATTGCGAAGCCTAAAGGCGAAATGAATGTCGCTTATCAGCAGAAACTCTTTTGCCGCACGGCAAATAAACGCGCAGACGGGCAGATGATTGGGGAGCCCCAGGAGTCCCTCAGGGTGACAAGCACCGGCCCGCCCCACACAGAGATCACTGGGTAGTAAAACCAAAAACTCGGGCCCCAACTAAACCCAAAAGTCATCCCTAGTGCTCTCCGGCAGAGCAGAAGCCAGCCACCCACCACGTCTGAGAACACACCTGGAGCCCAACAAGACCCACCGACTCCCGGCACCTATCGGCCAAGCCGGCGCCGGACACCGTCACCACGCCGGGAGAACCAGCTAGGAAACGTTCAAAATAAATCAACAATCATGTAATCCAAGGCAATATGTGCGCCAGGCGTCGTAACAATCCAGACCATTGAATAAGGATGCCAAATTGCAGTATCAAATCCAAAATCGCGAAACAGAACGTGATCCGGCGGCTCCCAGGCGGAGAAGGCGTCCAGACGGCCGCTCGTCGTCAAGGTTGAACCAGGACCTGCCAGCTAGCTGTGTTTCTACATCAGCTGACATTTCATTATTTCTTCTCCGAATCGAATCATTACTCAATAGTAATTTTGTAAAACGCTTGATGAATGTTAATGCAACAATGGTTTAGTGAGAATTTCAATTGCAGGGCATGTATTATTTTCAGCAACTGTATGTGCACTTCCAGTTTTTGCAATTATTTGTGGACTTTCGTAAGACGCAATCATTCCATTTGTTTTTGACTGTGTACTTTTTCTAAATAAAGAAGCAGTTTTTCGTTGTTAAAAAATTAAGTAATCAATAGAAGGTCCAGCTGACATACCCATTGATTACTTAAACATCCACATAATCAGGATGTTTTTTATATGCTTTATAAGACTTGATGGCTTCACTGCGCCATTTGAAAATGAGCTGTTACATGAGACAAAGGTTATTTTGGATCAAATGGATTTTCACCAAAGTCGTAAGACATATGCAGACGAGGAGTCACAATAACGTGGCTGAAATATACGACGACGTTTCGGTCCATCCTGGACCTTTCTCAAGTCGATTGTGGGGGATATGGACATTCACAATCGACTTGAGAATGGTCCAGAACAAACCGAAACGTCGTCGTCCCATCACTTTCTAGTGTGTGGTTTGGTCAACGTAAGACATACTCTTACAGATACCATCTACACTTCTTCATTTCTTTTTTATGCGGGTGACAAAGAAGTTGAATGATTCAACGTGCTTTATTAGACTGACCATCTTAAACAATATATACATCGTATGTCTATACTCGGGGAGGAATATTTTTTTTTATAGTGGTACAAAGTAAATTTTGATCTCCCAAACTGTTATGTCATGACAGGATTATTATTCTCTGACAAACTAAACATTCCTTCTGCTATAGTCAACGCTAGACTTTCCCAGTGATATATAATCATAAAAAGAAACACGATTGTGTTTATGGTTAAGGCCGCTCTATGTTAATGGTGATCAAGTCAGAAAAATAAATTTACCGTTATATACCAATTACCAAGTTTAGCTCGACTTTTTCTTATGGAAATAGAGAACGAAAAGTTTCAAACAATTTCTGGCAGTGAAAATATTAAGTCTAACCTTGAACCGGAGAAGCACAGCAAGTATCTGGAAGAAATATTTACATTTGTATGATGACTTAACAGGTTGAGTGGAGAAGCGGCGGGACGGACATGTTTCCCTACGTGTGGCTGCGAGACAACTGCCAGTGTCCAGCGTGTTTCCACCCTGTGTCGCGGTCACGCTCACTCACTCTGGCCCACCTAAGCCTCTCCGTCACTCCCTCCACTACCCAGGTAACAATATGCTACTATACATACACTTTATATTTGTGTATGAGTAGGGAAGAACTGAACTAGGGAAGAAGAACTTGGGAAGAATAGAGAAAAGTTAACTCTCCTTAGTTTATATTTAGCAATTTACTGGGCCTGATGTAAGTTGGAAATTGCTGGAGGACATGTTTTACTTAAGCACTTTTCAGCATCTTCAGACGCAAAGGGAAATTTAATACAAATTAACGGAGGTGACAATATATATTCTCGGCTTGAGAATGGTCCAGGACGGACCGAAACGTCGTCGTCCCTTCACATTCTAGTGTGTGGTCTGGTCATCATACTTTAGCCACGTTATTGTGACTCATCGCCTGCAATATATATTCTATGATGAGGAAAGATGAAGTGTTACCCGGTTAAAGGGATTGGGTAATCATGTCCTAAGACATTAGGTGTTATGTAACCTGTCAGTTCTGGATTAATATTTTAGATGGTAAAATGTACCTAGGTGTAAGTTTGTTGCTGATAATTTGATGGCTACTTGACATGTAGTGCTTCGGCTGTGTTTGATATGTAGTACTTCGGTTGTGTTTGATATGTAGTGCTTCGGCTGTGTTTGATATGTAGTGCTTCGGCTGTGTTTGATATGTAGTGCTTCGGCTGTGTTTGATATGTAGTGCTTCGGTTGTGTTTGATATGTAGTGCTTCGGTTGTGTTTGATATGTAGTACTTCGGCTGTGTTTGATATGTAGTGCTTCGGCTGTGTTTGATATGTAGTGCTTCGGCTGTGTTTGATATGTAGTACTTCGGTTGTGTTTGATATGTAGTACTTCGGTTGTGTTTGATATGTAGTACTTCGGCTGTGTTTGATATGTAGTGCTTCGGCTGTGTTTGATATGTAGTGCTTCGGTTGTGTTTGATATGTAGTGCTTCGACTGTGTTTGATATGTAGTGCTTCGGCTGTGTTTGATATGTAGTGCTTCGGTTGTGTTTGATATGTAGTGCTTCGGCTGTGTTTGATATGTAGTGCTTCGGCTGTGTTTGATATGTAGTACTTCGGTTGTGTTTGATATGTAGTACTTCGGTTGTGTTTGATATGTAGTACTTCGGTTGTGTTTGATATGTAGTGCTTCGGCTGTGTTTAATATTCTAGAATCGTTCTTTCTGTCAATTATTTCAGTGCCACTGGTCAGGCTATCTCTGGTGATGTTCAGATTGTGTACAAATAATAAGTGATCTTTGAAAGAGTCTTGCTGCTTGTGCGTTGTCAGGCACCTCGTATGAGGTTATTGTTGCCTTGGCTCAATATCTGAATCGTTGGGGATGACAATCCCAAGTCAGATGATTCATAAGCCATGGGTTCCCCATTTCCAAGGTGCCCTGCATACAGTGTTTTATAATGGTACCATTGAAAAGAAAGAACAAGTTGATCTGGCCCTTGAAGCTGATGTCTACCGTTGGTATTTTGAAGGCATCGTTTTGCATGTACCTGACTGGAAATGCTTCCTGCTGGTTAAAGACGCTTTCGAGCGACACTCGATGTTTAGTTTTATTTACAAGAAAGAGAGTGGAGGTTCGTTGCTATTCTTGTAACATTCTTAGAAATTAAAATTATCTTCCACACTTCAGTCCACACTATAAAAACTAATATAAGAGATTGCTCAATGCAAGGAGTGATCGCCCTGACTGAAAACAAGATATATACTTTGTTGATATTTATGCCCACCGAGCTCTCTCACATGACTCCAGTTGTAAACAGATTAACAAGGAATTTATTAGTCTTAGGCATGTCCTGTCAGCACGAGACACACTGATGGATATGTGGAAGAGGTCGTCAAAATGAAGGAAACTATCATGCCACAACTGAGAAACAAATCAACACTCCACAATCTGTCTAAACTGTTGAATAGTATTACAGATACTCTTTTCAACTGCTAAAAAGACCGGGGAAAGAAACCTGAAAAACATAATGGAGAGAAACGTGATCCCTTCCAACACTGAATAAAGGATATGTCTCACAGTTTACCGCCCGAGTGAGAAGACTGTCAACTTGCTCATACATGTCCTCTTGGTTACTGTCAGTCCCTAGACACTTAATATTCGGGCAAGACGACGACAGCATCTCTATCTAACCTAACCTGTCTAACAATACACAAGTAACAAGGCTCCATTAAAGATCACAAGTAACAAGGCTTCATTAAAGATCACAAGTAACAAGGCTTCTTAAAAGATCACAAGTAACAAGGCTTCTTAAAAGATCACAAGTGACAAGGCTCCATTAAAGATCACAAGTAACAAGGTTCTATTAAAGATCACAAGTAACAAGGCTTCATTAAAGATCACAAGTAACAAGGCTTCATTAAAGATCACAAATAACAAGGTTCCATTAAAGTTCACAAGTAACAAGGCTCCATTAAAGATCACAAGCAACAAGGCTTCATTAAAGATCACAAGCAACAAGGCTTCATTATAGATCACAAGTACCAAGGCTTCATTAAAGATCACATGCAACAAGACGATCATCAGAGAGATCATTACCAGCAACACCAAAATTATCGACATGTAGAGTGATAACAGGAGCAAGAGATAGCAGAATGCCTTCACACCAAACACTATCAACCATTTATTAATACCCATTTAACACGGCATGTGCTACCATTAAGACCAAGAGAGAGATGCTAGCGTACACGCCCACCTACTGGTCAGCTCACTATTAAAAACGCATTACCAGAGTACCAAGTCCTCTTGACAGTTAACTACCTCTGTGCTCAGTCCATCTCTATCTATTTAGAGATTGACTGAGACGTTTCTAAGATACAAGTAAATAGATATTTACTTGTATCTTAGTTAAATGTATAAGTGGTGTTACATATGTTAAACTGGATGAGGTAACCGGCAGTGCCCGGGTCACTGTCTGTCTCTCTCTCTCTTTCCCTCCCTCCCTTCCTCCCTCCCTCCCTCCCTCCCTCCCTCCCTCCCTCCCTCCCTCCCTCCTTTCTACCCTCCATCGCCTACCATTCTCCCTAAATCCTCTAACTCTTCATCGTAGCCGGTCCTTCTTCCAGTGGGAAAACTTACTCGAGTAATGTTAAATCTACGTTAAACCAACATTACAAACGTCGAGTCGACGTTACGTACATTAATTTAGCATTGATAACAGATGAGAAATATGTTGGTAAATGCTCTATAGATGCTGAAGCTCACATATCAGACTTGACATGAGTCGTTAGTTGCTGCAAGTTGACATAAACCATCCTGTGATACGCGCTATACAACTGAAATTCACCATGGCAAGTTGTGAAAGGCTATCTGCAACTGTCTGGCCGTCAACCTCGGACAGACAGAGACAAACAAGCATTCTCTGTTATAGATGGGAAGAACAGCACGGTGATCCACAAGAAATTGTAATCCAAATTTACAGATCTAACAAACAGAAAATAAATGTTAAATATTGCGGTCACCAAAGTAGGATCCACTTCCGCAAACTATAGTGATTCCTTGTGTGGTGTAGGAAGCCGTCGGCTGTTGTAATTAAGTGAGGTGAACATTGGTCAACCAACAGCGCTGGCAAACCACTAAGCACTAACAAGGACAGGTACCCACCGACCGCGGGAGATATAGGTCAATGTATAACTTATGCATGTGGTATGTCCATCATTTTTCCCTTGAAATTATATTTTGGGGCTACGCGCTCGAACTCGTTTCCTTACACTTGATGCTTAAGTTCACCGTACAGTAAATAGGTGCCTGGGAATGACAGATGTTGTGAGTTGCAGCCTTCATAAGGATAATTGCTTGCCTGTGGTGACCTCGATCAATCTAACAAGCATCCTTTCCCGAATATAAAAAAGGAAAAATCTTGTTTTTAAAACTTTGGCATTGGGCTCCGAAATTCGATGAGATTGTGCATCGTTCCTTTACTCTGCCAACATACTTCAGCTCCCAGTCTGTCCTCACACTCCTCTCACATCTTATGTAGTCATTCTGGCTTAGTGTTGTCTTCTGGTAATGATCTTCCTCTTTCTCTCAGGTGAGCGAGGATGGAGGAGGAGTGGAGGTAGAGTGGTCAGACGGCCACCTGAGCGCCTACCCTGCCACCTGGCTTCGCCTCAGGGCCTTCAACACACACCAACAACAACTACGTGCTAGCACAATCAGGTACCGAAGAGAAAATGTTCTAATGATGCCGAATAAAATTCAAATATTTCATATTATTTTATCATCATAATTAGGAAGGTAAACACTTATGTGGGGTTATCTTTATACTGTTAGGTGTTGGAAGATATTTGAGGCTTGTAGGAACTTATTTACGGAACACAATGGAGTATTGCCATTTCCTAGGAAATCTATTAACTACTTGTTACAACTGGGGGTTTGGTTAAGAAAAGTAATAGTGCTAACTGGGAATACCACTTAATTAAGGTGTGGATTCCTGGCTTCGTCGCCAGAGGGTGCAGACGTCGGGCTTGAGCTGTCAGTCGTCGTTTGCCGTTGCTGAGTGGTGGTTTGCTGTGGGAGGTGTGAAGAGCCCGCTAGTCGGGGCTCTGCCTGGCGGTATGGTGGTGGCTAGCGGTAGCCGTATTCGACGGGTGGATACTGTACGGCTGGATTTGTTTTTGCTGCTGTGGACTGGCCCATTGTGGAGATTGCTCTCCTGGACGTGCTCCGTGTCGACGTCTCCGATCTTCTGGGACTAGAGAAGATATCGCCTACCCGTGTTGCGGTGTCGTTTGCCACGTCGCTTGTTTACCAGGAGTTTGTGGCTCGCTAGGATGCATGCTCGCTTCCTCTTCCGGCTTCGGCTGTGTCTGTGGAGATCTCGGATCCCTGGGGGCCCTTGACGTTTTTGAGTGTTCACGGCGTGCCGGTGACCTTTCCCGAGGCGGAACTCATGTCATTGTTTACGCAGTTTGGTGCGATGGTGAAGCAACGGTTCAACACTTGAGTGCGGGCCAGCTAAAGGGGTCCGGCTGGGTACACACACGCTCGTCATGCGGATCACGAACCCTATTCATTCCTGGGTTTCGTTTCGTGGGCTCTCTATGCGGATCTTTTATCAAGGTCAAACCCGCACATGTTTCCGGTGTGGTGCTGAGGGCCACGTAGCGGCCGGTTGCGACGCTCCTCATGCTGAGGCCCCTTCGGTCTTCCTGGAGGCTGACTTTCCCCGCTTGTCTGTGCGTGGGGATTCCCCGGTGGGTTCTCGCCCTGTGGAGTGCTTCGTGTGCTTTCTGCGGTGGTTCCGGCGGCTGCTCCGTCTGGCCCTGATCTGTCTGCCCTCCCGGTGCGCTCTGCGGACCTAGAGGCCCCTGATTCGCGCCTTCGGCGCTCGGTGGATGCGGAGGTGCATCCACATTCGGATGCTTCCATGGTACAGTCTATCTCTTCAGTTCCACCGGCTTCTGCTCCTGTTTCCGTCTCTGCGCCTCTGTCACCTTCGACGTCCCTGCGGGCTTCTTCACCTGTGATGGTCCCTTTCCCTCCCACGTTCGCACCTGTTCCTTCTCCTGTCTCCTCTGTGAGTGGCGGTCTCGTCCCCTGTGTTGTTGAGGCTGACATTTTGCAGGGTCGTGCTCCCTCCTGCAGGGGGTGACAGCTCCAATGGCCTGTTCTCAAGCGATCGCGTCCGGATACGGGTGCTTCCTCCCCTTGTGCGTGGGCGAAGGTGTGTGAGGATGCGGCGAGTGTTGACGTTTCTTCTGAGAGCTGTTTCTCTGTGGAGTGCGACGATGGTGCGTCTGGTGCTGGTGTGGGTCCGGTGGATGGTGTGGACCCTGGTGTGGCTCCTGCTGTGGGGGTGTCAGCCCGTGTGGGGCCTGTGTTTCCTGCTTCAGGTGCGTCGCCCGTGTCAGATAGTTCCGGTTCTTCGTGGGGGGTGGTTCCCCGTTGCGGGGTTGAGAGTGGGTGTGGAGACCTGGTGGTGGTCTTGAAGAAAACTGCTCGCGCTGAAGGTTCCGTGCCCCCTCCCCCGTTTCGTCTCCAGCCGTTTCTTCTATGTCTCCTGCTTTGTCGGGGGCCGTGTTGCCGCCTCGGCAACCTCCGCCAGCTGCCCCGGTGTCCCCTGCTTCCTCGGCGGCGGTATTCCGGCCTCCCCAGAGGGGTTCTTCGTCTTCGACGCCCTGTGATTGGGATCGCCCGCTTCCGCCAGGTGTGGAGATCCCTGAGTATATGAAGATACTGTGGCATTGTGAGGGCCGTCCCATTATGAACTGGAGCTTTTGATTTGGGGTGCTTATAAGCGGAAGTTTCCGTCGAGAAAGTTCCCTGAGAAATATTATTCTCGTTGATTTTTGTGTGGTATGGTGTTGCTTGTGTGTGGGTGCGTGGGTGTGGAGTGGGGTTGCATGTGTGGGTCAGGGTGGGGCGGTGTTTTTGTTTTCCCGGTTCCTGGGTGTTCCGTTTTTTTCTTATTTCTGGGTTTGTTTGTGTGGGGTTTGCGAGTGTGTTTGTGGTTTTATGTTTCCGGCTGTGTGTGTCTTGAGTGGCTGGTTGAACTAATGACCTGATGTAGTGGTGTATTTGGTGTGTCTTATGTCCCTCCGGCCTTCTGGTCGTTTGCGCGTGTGCCCTGTTCTGCCTTTGCATATATTGTGTACCCATTTATATGCTTTGTTCATGTGTATATTTACTTTTGTTTATATGTGTGCTTTTCTTTTCATGTTGTGTTCATGTCTTCTGTGTCCTGTATGTATTCTCGTTTCTTTGTATGTATTTTTTGTTCGTACATTGTGGTTTCTCTATCAATGTGTTATGGTATGGTTGTGGGTTGTGTATTCTGTGCTTCCCTGTGTTTGTTACGTGGGTTGTGTGTGTGTGCTTCCTTATTTTGTTCTGTACGTATTTTTTTGTGCCTTTTTATGCTACTTATGTGTGCTTATTGCTGTTATGTATCTGGCGCGTGCCTTTTGTGTATTATTGTGCTCCTCTGTGTGGGGTTTGGGGACCCCGGGATAGTATTTTGCTTTCCACCCCTTTATGTTCTAGGGGTGTTTGTCTTTCTGTTCCACTTTGTTGTTGTTCCTTTTGCCTTTTCCGTGATGCCATTTACCTGTTTCCTATGCCATGTGTTGATGTATGCCGATTTGTATTATTTTCTATGTTCTTTCCTTATGTGGTTTGTATTTTATATTTTTATATAAATAAAAAAAACTTAATTAAGGTGTTAGGCTAGGCCAGCCCCCTGGGAATTAGTCCCAAAAATTCAATATAAAAAAATGTGGATTCGTCGTATTGGAGTGGATTCGTTGCCTGGTGTGCATAGGATACCTGTGCACTCATGTGCAAAGACCATGCATAAGGCCAGGACAACAATGTGGGGGCTGATAGCCCCTGACGTAACTAATTGTCATGACGGTGGTGATCGTAGGTCTCCATAGCTTGTAGGCGCTCCTATAAGCACCAGTTGTTAAGTATGTGTGTGTGTGGGTACTCAGAGCTATAGCTAGTAAAGAGTTGGCAAAGCCAGGGAGGCTTGGACAGAGGTGTTAACTTTTTAATCTGTAGGAACCTACCCGAGGTGGGTGTGGTAAAGTCGCTCAACGTGTGTAAGGTCATGTAGACCACTGTATAGGCTAGAGTTAGAGAACCTTCTAGAACAAATACCTCATGAGCATTTATAACTACTTTGTGATTGGTCAGCTGAGGAAGCTGTGATTTGATTGGCTTACACACATCTGAGTGCTATATAAAGGCAACAGCCTTACCTTCTATGAGTCTGGGTATTAGAGATCATTCTGTACCTTAAGCCCTACCCAACAAGACATCAGTTGACTTGGCCAAGTCACTAAACGTACCTAGGGTTCACGGTGAAGTTATCTGTTGCTACAAGGACTCTCAATTTCTATCTGCAGAATCCTCAAATAGTGTTATCATTGTAATAGATATAATAACTAGCAGAATTTCATTAGTGTGGGCATAGCATAACTGATCTTATGTGATAGTGTTAAGCAGGAGTCACGAACTCTGGAAATTGATATAAGTGTAATCATACGTCTAAGACAAGTTTTTTTTTATAAAAGAAAACTACAAAGTACAAACAGAAAAACCACATACAAGAAAACATGAGTACATACATGATACACAATACAGGATACAGGAACACAACAGGCAAAAAACCCAAACATAAGAAAAATCAAAGTTAATTATACATGATACAAAGCATATAACAAACCCCAACACGGGCACATAAGACAAGCTAAAAGCAGTATAGGACACAAGGCATTAATAACAGAAAACAGAACCACACAGGGAACCGTAAGTACAAAACACAAACAAAAGGCACAAAAACCATGCAAACGACCAAAAGGCCGTAAGAACACAAGTACAAAATATATACCACCACCACACTAAACACACCACTACAGTAGCACAATAGCACAACCAGCCACGCATACTACACACAGAGCTGGAAGTATAAAACCACACCCAACCACACAGAACATATACAGAAAGACACAAGCAGAAAAAGAAAAAAAACGGAAAACAAAACCCCCCGACCCAGACACACACATGCAACCCCACCCTACACCTACGCACCCAGGTGCAAGCAACTCCACAACAGTCAACAAGGAGGATATTTCTCAGGAAACTTCCACGACGGATACTTCCACTTATAAGCCTCCCATATTAAATACTCCAGTTCGGTAGGTGAACGGCCCTCACGACACCGCGGGTACTCCTTATACTCTGGAATCGGCACATCCGGCGGAAGGGGTCGCGCCCAACCACAGTACACCGAAGACGAAGAACCCGACTTGGGAAGCAGGAACACCGCCGCCGAGGAAGCAGGAGACACCGGAATAGCGGGCGGAGGATCTCGAGGCGGCAACACAGCCCCCGACAAAGCAAGAGACACAGAAGAAATGGCCGGAGACGTGTGGGGCAGCAGAACCGCCGCCGACAAAACGGGGGACGGGGGAGGGGGCACGGAACCATCAGAGTGTGCAGCTTTCTTCAATACCATCACCAGGTCCCCATGTCCACTCTCAACGCCGCAAGGGGGAACACAGGTGAGGGAGCCTGCAGAGACGTCGGAGGCAACAGAGGTGCAGAGTCGGAAACAGGTGCAGAAGCTGGTGGAAGCGACGAGACAGACTGAGGGGGCGGAGCCGCACACACCACCACCTCGTCGTGTACACCACCGTCCACAGACGCCGGGC